AAAAAAATAATTACAACATTTCCATCTAGCAAAATGAGGTAATAACAAGTTTTCTGTCAATTTACGAACGTATTCCTTAAAAAGTCCATAGCAACCGTTGAGCTCTATACATACATCTTCTTGAGATTTTCTTTTCAAAGAGAGTGATTTTCTTCGGTAAGCCTTTGCGTTTCCGCGTATGGTGGTGGAGGAAAGGTTGATAGAGCAGATGTCGGGGTAGAGGTGGCGGTTTGATATGATGGCAGTAGCCTGCAAATAAAATAAAGGGTACTTTTAACTTTGAGATTTCGCCAATTTTTATTTTTCCATGTGCATACCCAATATTTGAAGAGACCACACTTATGTTAGAACTGCGATTATTTGGTGTCCGTCGACAGGTCATACCTCTTAATAGCACCATTACTGAGGATCTGAAAATGCATCATTAACTTATTTAATCGTTTATCCATGTGTTTAATTGGGAGAAACTGCACTGCGACTTGTTTCAAAACGTTTCCCTTATTCATATCTGCTATGATTTTCATGGCAGTAATGAGACTCATGACTTCTCTTACATGCAACTGTACATAGCCATATGGATGAATATACTCTTAAAGTTTTGTATTTGGAATTGTTGAACGCGCGTACGCAATATATTGACGGTATATATACTTAACCTCCACATTCTTCAAAAACCATCTGTACTGCTTCTTTGAACAGAAATAGGTGGCTGCGCTATCATTTCCTCTTTATTATAGGAAGTTCAAGAAGGAGTATTAATTTAAATCATCTAATTGCCTTTGACGAACGAGCAATATAAATCTTCTACCTTTTACAGTATAACTTGTTCTCTTCTATACAATGTGATTTTAAATATCACTTTAGTCACAGAAAAGAAGAGGACGATGTATAGGACATCTCTGTCAACTTGCTGTGTCGTGAAGCAGCATGGCAGCTGTTTCTCAGCTATTAGCTCTACCGAGATCGCGCTAATCGTAATCGTATAGCTCAGAGAACCCATTAGATTGACAAAAGATGTGAATGAGGACTGATCTAAAGATCAATAGAAACACGTTTTCCTGGTGAGTACAATTTTGACAAAGATAAACCATCAACTCAGCTAAACTGCGAAATCGCATTATTAGAACGTGAGAAATTGAGGAAATTTGAAAAAAAAAAACATTATTTTCTGACCTTCTATTTGCTTTTGAAGGCATCCACATCATAAAGTCATAATTTGAAATACTTCCATAATTTATGCGAAACCTAAATCAAGAACTTTTTAAACGAATGAGACTTGAACAAAATCAAGAACGCAGAATTCATGAACATGCAGTTAACGAAGCGAACCTAGGTTTTGTGAGACGACTGAGTGTAAATATGCAACCACATGCGACCAACATAAGCACCATAATACCAAGTAGAAATGTCACATGATCTTCTCGTACTTCCATAGGTTCATCCAAAAATACTGGAGGTGAATAGAACTGAAGAGTTACTAGATAGTCAAAGGGTTATTTTATAAAAGAATCGCAAATTACCTACCGTGTAATCGCTGTAATTTTGCGTGAGCAGTTCATTACAGAAGGGAACCTGAATAAAATATAGAACTTAGATCAAATGGCTTTCACATTTATTTACAGTAGGACCTTGCGTCTAAGAAGGAAAATTTGCACAAATGTGAAAATTCGAGAGATGTTCGAATATGTAGACAAACTTTACAAATATCTTATCAACGCACCTTCGTGGTGTCATTCAACAATAAGACTAGTTGACAGCATGCCCTCCGAGTTAGATTAGATTGTCGTTCACATAGATGCATGCTGAAACATTTAGAAAAACCTTTATCACATCACCTAATGAAAGTAATGCAGGTTAAGGCGTATCAAAGCGGTGCACGAGAGCGAAAAAGTAGCATCAGAACTTTCATTGACTTCTAAGGCTGTATTTACACGTTTGAAAGTTTTGCAGAATGTAAAGTCAGGATTGTAGACGTAAGCGTCCAAGTTTTTAAAAAATACTGTTGAGAAGGAGCTACAGATCTTTTAGAGTGTCTCCTTTCTAATTATCTTCGTGACTCTAAATCTTCCTAACCTGGCTAAGGGATATGTTGCTAATCACGAGCTGCCCCCACCCCCTCCTCCTCACATGGAATTTGTGATTTGGAGTTTCGCAAAATAGAGCGTTAAAGAGATGTAAAGACTGATTTTAAAATGTGCTGTAAAAGGATAGCATTTTTTGCTAAGTAAACTGAGCATATGGATTTGGTCACGCAATGAAAGAATGAATCAGAGGAATAGGCCAAAATCTAGCCGATAGATATTTCCTGAACTAAAGAATATCTCCAAGTAACGTGGCTAAAGCGCGTGCAGAAGTTCTTTCTTACTAGCAATTGGCCTAACTCAACTAGACAGCTAAGGCAATTCACGGATTAGCTAAGTGAGACCTCGGAAAAGTGCCTAGTTGTGAGGAAAATTATTGGTTGGAATGCATTTTACGTCTTGAGAAAGACGAATGAGTTCTTAGTGAGTAAAAACGGTTTAAACTGCAAGCTGTACGGAACACAAACTGCAAATGCAAAGGAATTTCCAAGAATTGCCCAATTTAGAATTGCTTTTGGATAAGGACCAGAGAAGCTCAATCAAATCACAATAGCTTAATTGGGACTTTTCACAATTCTTCTTATGCGTGTTTAGAAGCAAAAATTAAAAAGAATAGCTTTAAGAGCTTCTCAATAACTCTGTAAACTCTCTTTGTGTTCCGTAGAAAACAAGGGTTTTGCAAAGTGTCATCGTTTCAAATGCATGTGTCTATTCTATTATCAAAAA